CAAATAAAATTGGTCTAAGCACATTCAACGTTGACGTCGGCTGAAGGGATTGGAACACCAAAGACGTTAAAAAATAATGTCGTTAAAGTCACTTGTTGTCTTTTTTTTCTGAGGTTATCGCAAAGAAAGGGACAGTGGTAACTTGTATAAAACTTAAAAGTTGATGGCCGTCTCTGAGTACGGCTGTGGGATTAATATACGGTTGGCCGAAGAGGCTATAGGCTATAGAGTTCGGTTGGACACGTTTGAAATGGACGCGGGCGGCGCGCGGCGCGTCTCGGCGCGGCGGCCGTGGGATGCGGACAGGGTCGGCTCGGTCATATAGGCGACCGCTTAGCGCATAAGGTGCTTTGAGTTTTGGGTGCAATTTAGCAAAACTACAGACAAATAAAGTTATGCAGTAGACGTTTTTTTATGTAAAATTGCTACTGCGGAGGCTTGCTTGTTTATTTATGGTCGTTGCTCAAGAAGTTTGCAGAGGTTGCGAAAGTAACTATGTTTGCCCAGTGACTGTTTATTGAATTTAAAGTTTATTGAATTTGCGGAGATAAAAGGTGACCTCGGAGAGACATTAGGTATTTTAAAATTAAATATAAAACTTGAAGGGTTCTAATCAGTGATAAAGGTATTTATACACCTATGTCCATAAATAAAAGGTATTTCTAGTACCATTGTCTTTTATAGGAAACAAGAGAGACGAATAGAGTAAGTCGCCTAAAAGTCGTATTCAGAAACATCAAATTACTTTTCTAAGAGGGATATTTAGGGCCTTGTTTCTAAAATAGGTATCGTGCCAGTATCCTGGTCACATGACAACAGTGGCTTAACGAAGTCATTTATTGTAATCGCAAAGAAAGTGAAAGTATCAATTTTAGTCAAACTTAAAAGTTAAGTGACTTTTTTTGTGTGCGGCTGTAAGACGCCAGTACGTACTAAGCCGGCCCTGGTAGCGGGGAAGCGTCGTGTGCGCCGCTCGGTGTCCGTCCCTGGCACGGAGCAACGCCCCCGTCAAGGGCGGCGCGGCGACGGACGCTGCAAATTTCTGCAAGTCCACCGCGACTCAGTGCATCGCGCCCCGCCGCGGCGGCACCGCGCACGCCGCCTGCCGATCACACCGCCGCCACCGCCGCCGGCGCACGTCGCACACACTGCGTACGCACCGCCCTATGTTAAATTACTGTTATTTCGGGCTTTAATGGACACGTTCCGCATTCTTCACGCAATCCTCTCCCCGACCGGGAGCAACAGTCATTTGTTTTCCCGAAACAGTAAACGCTCTTTTGTTCGTGTGAGATGCTTAGCTCGTTTTTGCACCGCTCAATCATTGGTACAACAATGAAAGTTAACTTTTTCTCAATGAGCAGAAATCAGAATTGGTTCGCTAAACGATAGTGATGTGTTACGAAATGGATCTGGAGTTTAAAGTTTGAACGTTACAAAACTTCTGCCATCGTCATGTTGGAAATAAGGAAGTTCCCCAGGCGTTCAGTGTCTCTCCACGGTTAGTATTTTTTTCAGTCAACATTTCTTATTTGAAAATAACGTACTTAAGAAGTATCTAGGAAAATGTTTAAATTTTCAAACAAAAGAAAAATATCAACGTTATGTCAATATCAATCTGTAAATTTTAAATAATTCCAATTGTATCGGCGAATTAGAATGCTTATCTTTAGGCCACATGGCTTTATGCTGTATTGTATAGTCATCTCATCTGGTTTTTCCAGTTTATTATTTGCATAAAACTGTTAGGACAACGTCCTTCTTTTGAGACTAAAATGCGTGAGAAATAATATATCGATACAATTAGGTATCAGTTTGAGTATATATTTTATTAGTTCGTATATAATATATACGAACTTTTACCATCTTATTATTTCAATCGATAGGAACAAAGAACAAAAATCATAATATTATTAAGTATCTTCAATTACTTGTTGTTCTTTTCTTATTGTAATAAATATAAAAAAAGAAGGTAACTCAAACTGAGAATATATTTCATTTAAATAAATAGAGATTTATAATAACCATGTCTCGGCAACACAAAAGGATCATTACGATCCTTAAGGTCGACAATGAAGTCATTGCTTAAAAAATAGTTCTGATATACAGTTTTTCATACTACCTCAAATAACAGGATGAGATGAGCTAAAACTGTACCGGTAGTTTCTTCGCCGAATATCTAAAAAATAAAAATGTTTTATTAGTTTCCACTGAGCTTAGAGTGGAAACTCAAAAGCTCTGTCATAAAGATAAATGTACGAGTTCATGTTTTATTAGTATCTTTATTTTTTCACTAACGATGAAACTACAGACTCCCTTTAAATGAATAACAATATGAAATTTAATTGTACATAATTGTAGGTGATAACTGGCTAGTGTAAATAATATGTATGTCGCACCAGTGTCAGCAGAATCCATCGCGGTCAATAAAATTTGCGCATATAAAAAAATTGCTCACTTGCGAAATTCCAAAAACTAAACGGAAATTGTGCTCTTTTATTGTTTCCCGTGAAAATAATATTTCACAATATTACAGTGAATGTAAATTAGTTCGCATAAACACGATCACAATACTTATTATTTCGTTTTGACGAAGGCTATATCTATTGGACTTTCTGTAATATAAAGCAACTGAGTAAACGGGCTCAATGTCTTTGTTCCAATTTTATTACGTGTAAAATAACTGTTTGTAAGAAAACTCTGTTCGCGCATTTTGTTAACAGTTTCAGTAGCACCTGTTCAAATGTGAAGAAGCGTGCCGTGTCTGAATAAAAAGATTCAATATTACATCTATAATGTATGTACTCTTTGGCGAAACTGCAGTGTGTGGCAAAACATCTCTCAGTGAGCATTTTTTTTTATAGAAATAGTTTTTAAACAATGTATTCGCAGAAAGTGGTATTGTGTGACATAAAAACAGTAAATATATTGAAGTTTGGTCGTTTTTTGCATTTGCATCCTATAGAAGAAGAGAAAGAAGGTTTTTATTGAAAAACTACAGTTAACAGTAATAAGTTCGTTTATTCATAATCCCAAATCTCGTAAAGTTTTTAACTAAACGTTTTGAAATTGTCTTAAAAAATTTGTTTTCATATACGAGTATGTTTTAATTAAATTAGGAGGCACAGCGAAGGATGCTGCGGGTTGTAATGGGAAGTGTTCTTAATGGTTATTTATTTATTCGCCATTACAATACACAATTTAATAGAAATTACTAAAAAGAGCAGAATACAGAGAGAGAGTGTTAGTACATTAATATGTTATTTAAAGAAATAAATAAATTTTCATAATTGATTTAATTTTTCATTCTGATACCGTATAGAGTCACCTGAAACCGAAACATTTTTTTAAGATAATGTGCATAATAACAGGTAAATTAAATGAAATCTATTTAGTCCGTTAGTTATATTATCAAAAAATAATGGACATATGTCTTTTCTTTTGTCAATCAACCATAAAATTACAAAGCTAAAAAGCGCGTCAAAGTTTGGGATCGGGGACTCGTGACATCACTTCCAAGTATTTTTTTTAATAAGTGCAAAAAGAAAAATATGTGTCCAATACTTTTTGATAATCTGCCTGATAGATGAAGAAACTAAGTCCCTATTATGTAAATACTAATTTGAAGCTCTGGCAGAAATTGAGATAGGTATTTAAATAGTTTGTCCTAATATGATGTGACATTACTTATTTCAATATTTGCCTGATGACAGCAAATAACTAGGCTGTCCTATGATATGGAGTGACGCATCATTTAGCTAATATTACGTATTGGTCAACTGTAACATGACACCAACCCAGTGATTCATTATAAGCACAGCCTCTTTGTGTGAAATCCTGTATCGACCTTTGTGTGCAACTTCAAGGATGACGATCCATGATGTCATTATTGATTTACTGAATAACTTTCTCAAATATGTACTTTAAAATGCTTTTCACTCAATGAGCACTTCTGGAAAATTGTATTAAATTAACAGCTACTGATTATTATCTTTGTCTGTATATTGTTGTTCTATGCACGGAACAGAAAGAACAGGGTCCCACATCCTTGAGGGCCCAATGCCGATTGGTGGGTGCTAAGGTCTGCAGATGCAGTCCCAGTTGCATCTGCAGTCGTTAGCACCAATTTCCATTAATAAGTTATTGGTCCCTACCAGTGGCTTATCACACTATTAGTTATTAATCCGTTTTACAATCACGTAGAAGCTTGAGATAAAAATTTTGGTCACCCGTCTTATAATCAGTCATTGCGAAAGTTCTTATATTCCTCGATCGCAGACTAAACGTGATAGATACTGCGCTATCGAGCTCTTCGTGTATGTGACGCTGTTCAATGATTATTTATGCTTTCTTTATCAATTGACAACACCTTTGCTCAACGATTAGCATACCGAATTTATCCTGGCCTGGCCACCTGCTGGCCCTGATTTCATTATTCCTGGCCATCAATCTTAAATTACCTATCCGATGTTTGTTTCTTATTTACATAAGACATGCACGACCAAAAAAAGGTTTTTTTTTATCGATTTCTTGGTTGTTTTTATTATCTTTAATTATACTTTGATGAATGACAATCAGAAAGCAATATTTTACTTTTGATATTTATAATGTAGAAATAAAACTCAGAAATATAAATATCATTGCTAAATATTAAAGGAAGAGATAAAACTAGAAAAATCAGTTATGCAGTTTATGTTACAGATAGTGACAGTTTAAATGATGTTAATCAGCTGTTGTTCCAGACATGGTACAGACGTGCGTGCGTGTCGATAATAATAATGAGTGCTAACTGTGCTTCAAGAAAGCTCCCACAGAAACTATAGTAATTTTTTACTTTACAGACTGTGTAAACAAATACATATTTATTTAATATAAGTAAATTATTATAGTTCCCTTCAGTTTAAGACGCATATTTGAATTGATTTAAATTGTGAAAGATTCTAATACCAATCAAGAGCATATTGACTTGAAAAAATAATTTGATCTCTCTTTTTTTTCAGATCGAGTGAACAAAAGTGATGTTGAGGACAAAAGCCTTTCTAATGATGAAAGTCCTCTACCTTCATGTCCCCGTCAGCCTCCCGATGGAGTGGAAACACCATCAGATGCTATGGAAAAAGTGCCTGAACTTCCAACCCGTCTGCCTCCGAGACTTCCAGCCGGGTGGCCTAATTCTAGGTCACGCTACTCCTATACATCGCGAACTCAAGATGCAAGAAGTGAAGCTAGCGTTAAAGATAAAATTGCCATGTTTTCAAGTAGTCGTGCCACTTCTACCGACCATCTGGACAAATGTGGTACGCTTCCAACTCGTACTACTTCTAATACAAGAAAAAGCACAGCTCCTTATTCAAGCAACTATCCTCACGTTTCTACTTTGGATAGACGACTCACAAAGTCACAAGATAACCTTGACGAAACACCACGTTCCTATAAAAAACATACGGACAGACCAGAAGTACCGGGCGCCCATGAAAATGCGACGTCTATATTAGGCATGACAAGAAGCAATAAATCTCTTCATTCAGAAAGTAAGCCTTTCTTTTATGGAAGTACTACTACATTACCGTCGACTGTTGATACATTTTCTCCACCGATATACCATATGCGAAGTATAAGCGATGATTCTTCAAGTACGACTTCAACGGCGTCTACACATAAGTCTAATCTAGAATACTTAATAGAACAAAGAAAAAAATCTATGTCTAAATTGAAATGTTTAGCAATACCTGAAGCACAAGGACCAATCATTGATTTACCTGAAATTAAAGTTCAGGATACGTTAACAAAATCATTTCTTCTTAAATCAAATCAAAGTAATGTAAATCCTAAAGATACAAAATTAAATAATACAAAAGCAACTATATTAAAAGAAAACAAATGGAAAGCTAATCTCTTGCCAAATAATATACCGAAATATTCACCAGCCTTTAAAAGGAAGTCATTGCAGGTTTACACACCTTCTTCTCTGTCAAAAGAATCTACTCCAGAAAGGAGATTTAACGAGAAGATTGATGCATTTAGTAAAGTTATGACATATTCAGCTAAACCAATGAGAACGTCTCTGGATACAAGTTATGAAATGGAGAGATCATCTGCTACATTACCAGCTAAATCAAGCTTATCAAATATGAACTCTGTAAATAAAAAAGAATACAAAGATATTATGAACTATGTAAAAGATTATAAAAACATTGAGATAAAACTTTGCACAGCGACTGATGTTATTGACAGTGATAACGATTCCGCCATGAGTTCTACTCAATCAAGCTATAGATCTTCAGCATCATCGCCAATGCATACATTAGATACAATAGAATCTGATGGTCCACGCCTTTCACCAAGGATATCACATTTTACTTCTTATTCCCACATGAAAGCTGATATTCCAACAAAATCTTCTATAATAGAAAAGAATTGTGAGGAATATAAAAAACGTCATGTGTATCGCTCGGTGTCATCCGATACTAATGTTTCACTTAGCTCATCAGCAGGGTCAGCAGCTACCTCCGGCTCTCAAGCAAGCTGCAGTTCCTTAGAAAGTTCTGTCGCTGACTCAGATAAGAAAAAGGTTTCAAAAACATATAATATAGATAGTATTAATAGAAGAAATATATTAGCTTCTGCTAAGTGTAGAAGTGGCCGTGATGCGAAGCTCAAGTCTCCTGTTGTTGAAACTAAGTTCTTGCACGAGTCGAACGACAGGTCTCCAAGTCCAACGGATAAACCGTCTGATCGTCTTTCTACGCTCACGTCATCGGTGAGTGCCGTATCTAATAAAGGCGAAAACAGACGACGTACTAAAATAATTGCCGAATCTGATTCTGACAGCGATTGTGACGTCAATGTTCGGCAAAGAAAGACTGACTTTAAAAATACGAGACTGAAGCGGAACTCTAGCTCTGCTAACAAAATTAAATCGAACGAAACTGAGGACGCACCTAAATGTATATCTGAAAAAATTATAAAAGAAATAAAAAAAGCAGGACTTGATAATTTCAGCAATAATACGACAACGAAGATATTAGACGGTAATAAAGTTGAACCGATGTTAACTGAAAGAAAAGTTATTAACAAAGAAGAAATCATAAAAAAGATCATATTACCTGAAAAGAAAGTAAATAGCAAAGCTCCTGTTATTTTAAACGACTCTATTATAATAAATGAAGAGAAGCTCTCTTTAAATATACATAAAATAGATATATGTAAAGATATAGTTGATTCCATGAAAACCGAAGAAATAGAAATACCAACGCACACGATTCGGCTAAAAAAGGGCGCTGGTACAGGCGTGGGTCTTATTTTAGCCGGTGGTGTTGATTGTGAAGCTAAAGACGTTACGGTACGTAATTTTTATTGAAAAAAAATTGCTACAAGATGTTATCAATTTATAACTCTTTTTAAATATTGCTTTCCATAAATTAACAAAATTTTACAAATTAATTGTAGGTACACCGTGTATTGGCAGACAGTGTGGCTGATAAGGCGGGATTGAAACGAGGTGCAAAAGTGCGGAGTATTAACGGCTGTACTATGACAGGACTAACACACGCTCAATCCGTTACTATTCTGAAGGCAAGTAATTGTTACGTTAATATTTATAGTACATGCAGGATACTTTCTGTTCTCGATACTATCACCAAATGAAAACTTTTGTAGAGTCACAAATTGTTCGGTATAGGTATTTTTAATACTATTCTTCTTCTCAAAGCAAATTGATTAAGGCCTGAGAAATCATGAAAAGTCTTTTTTAATTCAAGTATTTTTTTATTATTTTAAGCTATATGTTTGAATCTTAATAAAATTTTGATGCACCTTAAATTCTGTATATATTCATATAAATCATACTTCATTTGACTAAAACTTGTATCAAAATTATCAGAAATAATAATCATATCCATGCATTGTGAATTTACAGGAGCAACGATTAGAAGTAATCATTGAAATAGAAAATGACATACAAGACAACGCAGGAGGAGTCGGATGCGGCTCTGAAAATGGTATGTTTTTTATGTAATAAAAAAGAGGTGAAATAGAAAAGACTTTTTTATTTGCAGGTTTTAACTTTTTGTTGAATATGTTCGCAGCGGAGTCGAAGGTCCGGCAAGAAGTAGACGCGACAGAGGAGAGGTCGAAGAATGTGGTCACTGTGGTCCTGGACAAGGCCGGTGGAGGAGCCGGTCTTGGTTTCGGCCTCGACGGAGGCCGCGACTCACCACACGGTGACCGACCGCTCACTATCAAGAAACTTTTTGCAGGTATAATATTATTTATATTTTAAGTATTTAACTGTTACGTTTTCAAATCTAGAGAATAATTTACTAGAAAAAATCCTCTTGGTCCAGGTTTCAAGTGACAGCCGATACACTTCTTTTTTTTCTATAATAATCGATGTAGGCCCGTCAGGTTTTTAGAGATTTTGAGACACCCTTTTCAATTTTTTTGTAATTAAATTTGATACTAATAAAGAGTAGTTTTTGATTTGTAAAGTGTAAACACGGACGATAAGTAAATTAGTGACAGTACAATTAAAACATTTTTCATTTTCCCTATAGGATACCAGTGAGATCGTTGTAAAATCAAAGATTTTAAGCTAAGCCGAAGCGCTTTTATAACAGCTTTTTATGAACAATTAATGAGTCCAATAGAATCGAATCAGTAATCAAATCTGCTATATTAGAAACGGTGGTGAGTGCGCCCATTAAAAATGTACTCTGACTCGATTTGTCTGATTGAGTTTTGAAACAAAACTACGAGTAAGTTTTTTGCAACACATTCACAAAAAGGATGGTGTCGAATCACACTGATTAGATAAGGCCTTGGAATTAAAAAACTGTGATATAATCAAAAAGAAATCGTGATTCTAGATTTTCGTTTGTGAATCACAAAAAAACATTAGAACTAAATTAGTTTTATTAAAGGATTGAAAAAAAGGTATGTCTGCTTACGTATTACGTTCCTACCTATACACTCTCAGTAACGTAATGTGCCTACTGTTTCTGTTGAAGTTTTTTTTATAGATAGTTCCGATTAATGTTTCCACCCCACCTGATGTTAAGTGACGGTGAAGTCTATATCGATTACAAAGATAAAGTATTCGCTATGTGCGAAGTACATGGTGGGGGTATAGTGAAGCGATCGCAGCGCTTATCGTGGCAGAAATACGCAACAATCCGGGAAAGTAAAGTCAATTTGCACGGAGTTCGTAATAAACAAAAATTTTTTAAAATGCCTATTAATAGATGTTGTTGTGTTGTGAATTGCAAAAATAAGGGCACAAATAGTCTGTGTATATATTTCCTACATTGGACTGGAAATTAAATCAAAGAAATAAATGGATAGATGCCATAAAAAGAAATAAGTAAGCGAAATAACCTTAAATTATGATCAATTTTATTTGCGCTATATATTTTATGTGATATTCATTATTGTCTTTATTATTTTAGTGTTGATGGGTCGCCATGGTATCCCAAACCTGACGACACAATTTGTAGTGAACATTTTATGGGAAACAAAAAATCAGACGAGGAAGAAAATCCGAGTTATGCTCCTACGATATTCCCTGAAATATATCGAAAGAGGAAGGTTAATGATTCACAGGTCCTAGCTAGATATACACGCTTGACAAAACGAAGAACCACAAAAGTCTCAGATACCACATCAAGTCAAATAATAATTGAAGAAGGGAGTGAATTAAATCAAACTCAACCTTTTATGATCGATCAAGGATGTCAAGTCAATATGTTTTCTGAATCGAAATTAAGAGATACAACTTTTATTTGTATTAGATTAATTTACAGTGATCACTGTGATGCTGAAATCCAACATCAAGAATTTTAATGACAAATAATTCAAGAAAGAAAGATAAAAGCTGTGGCACTGACAAAAAATCGTATGAGGATCAATCTACCGAAACAAAAAGTCAAGAATTTGTTGGTATTTCATCAATAACAAATGATCAAGAACTCCTAGATCCTTCTGGTGTGTCATTTAGCAATTTTGAGTTTTTATTAACAAGATTAACTATGAAAAAATGTACAGTTTCCACTAAAGACCGACTTCTGATTTTTTTGATAAAAATGAAAAATGGCTTGACATTTTCAGCATTGAGTGTGTTATTTGGTGTACAAAAAAACCACAATCTCACGTATATTTCATTCGATCTTACAAAATCTAGCTTGTTCAACTGCTAATTTAATCTTTTGGCCGAATAGAGCCACCGTACAAGCAACAATGCCCAAGTGTTTCAGTCCAGATTACATCAATACAAGAGTTATTATTGACTGTACTAAATTCCGAATTGAAATCCGACAGTATTTAAATTATTATACAATATATAATAATTTTTATTTATCTTTAATTTACTATATTTACTAGAAATCAATAAAATACAAACTGATGTCATTATTTGGCATAATCCCGGAAAGTTGCGCATTGTAGGTGGCGCTACTGTCGTGCACATAGCGAATATCATTACTTACTATTTGAGCTGAATTATGAACAAGTTCAACCTCTCTGTGTTTCAATCAGATTTCCTGATTTAATTATCAAACTGAAACTATCATTTACATATACGATATATGATATCCGTATTTAGAAAAAAAAATATTTTTACGTTTGGTCTATGTGTAACAAACAATTCGAGCAATATTTATATTAAATAAAAACAAAATTTGAGACTAATGAAGCTAAAAGGCCAGATGCCAGATACTGCACGAAAAACACGTTCGGTTAAAACTGAATATTAGAGCAACATTTCTATACAATTAAACTAAACGTAGAAATTTCGTATAACCTGACCTAACCAATTTATTACTGTAGCAAAATTTCCTTAGCGTTTTTGATGTCTGCGCGAAATCGCGGTAAACTGTTAGATAATATTATTAGTGTATTGTTTTCATCGCTAGTGGGGCAGAAACATAGGAAGAACGTACTGTAATCCACCAAACAAACCACCAGTCCATAACTGGTGGGTGCTGATAGAGTCGGGATCAATGGTTTATCATATTCTTCCTTAGCGTGGAAGAACGCGAGATAATTTATTGTGGATCGCTTATCCGGTAACCGGCTTTTGCAAAAGTTAATTATACTTCGTCCTCACGTCAAGGACCTGCTCTCAGATCCTAATTATAATTTTAATGGTTTTCCATACCATGTCGACATTCATCCCCTATTCCACACCTTTGAAATTTTCTTGCCAAAATCATTACAGGCGTGAATGCGTAACTGGACCAAGTTATTGTTGCATCTAAAAATTGTGATTAAATGAATTCATTAAATGGCTAAAACACGTTTAGTTTGTATAGTCCTCAGAGTTGTAATTCACAGTCTCACAGCGTACTTTTTAGCAGTTTGTTTCAGTGTATGCGTCCTATAGTAACTTCATTTTCTATAGAAAAACATATAGTCTATTGACGACGATCATTGGCAAATGTTCAATAGGGATGATGACTTACTTTTTTTCATCTATCAGGTAGATTGTCAAAAAGTTGTTTTTTATAACATAATCAAAACTTTACACAGATATATTAATTTGAAGTATCGCAATACATAACGACTTGATACAATATTTACTTAGAAAAGACATCACGAGCCCCCTCAAACTTTGTCGCACTTTATTTTCGTAATTTTTTGGTTAATTGGTAAAAGTAAATGTAAGTGTCCAATATTTTTTGATAATATAAATGAATAGATTTTTCTTAATTCACCCGTCATCATCCCTATTAACATTATCTTAATATACATACTACAATATTGGTTTTAATTTGAATGATGCGTTTATGTTTGTTGAATTAATTTGTTCCTCGCTAGTTAAAGAAAATGCAATTCATGGGCGAATTGTAATCAACGGCTTCGTTTAGCTAAAAAAATAGCTTGGCTTAGTGAGTGCTTGGTTTCGCCTCATCCATCCATCCAGTATTGCTCGGCTTATGATTATATTATTCTATTACAATGTTCAACAGTCGAGGAAGTACTTTTTCCATTTTCCAATATTTTTAAATTCTGTTTCTGTGTGATTGAGTGTGTATCTATACTAAATAATATATTTTTTTTTTCTAACTGCAATGCAATATGACCGGTTATAGAAGCACCGCAATAGGTAAAGTTTCAATATTGTGTCCGTTTTATATTAATTACCTTTTGATGTCGTTATAATATGTTTACTCATGCTATTGTACAAAACCTGTTGTATTTCTTGATTAGAAAATACGATAAATGTTTCCGAAGAATAATACAGATATCCAACACCCAATTTAATTTATCCCTTAGATAATTCTTAAATAATACATATAAATCTCCTTGTCGTAATAAGATGAAAATGCGATATGGTTGAATCTTTCTCTCTGAACTTAAATCGCTTGACCTACGCTCATTTAAATATTTAAATTATAAAAATAATAAAAAATAAAAATGATTTATTTCTTTACCATAATACATCTGGTTACATAAATAAAGGTAAGCTCTTTTGTAAAGTGTAAAGTAGACACCTGTATTTACAAATTGTAAATCTCTTATGGCTCACATGGGATTTATATACTGAAATTTAAATCAAAGTACTCGGTGGATATCGACGAAGATTTTAAATATAATTTGGCGTTTAGCTACAAGCTTTCGAGTATTAGTATTCTAAGTATTAATTAAATCCTATCCCTAATGAAGAAATATCTGGCCCATTCTGTTTTGCTTGTAAGTGATTTTTTTATGTTGAAAGTATGGCCAACAAGCTTATGGCCTGCCCGACGGTAAATGATCATAATAACCTATAGACGCTTGCAATACAAAAAATATCACGCGCGCCGTTGCTTTCCCCGTGGATTTGTTCTTAATTGCATTATTATGATTTTCAGGAGGAGCAGCTGCTCAAAGTGGACGAGTATTAGTTGGGGCAGAGCTGCTGTCTGCTGGAGGGCAGTCCATGGAAGGATTCACAAGGACCCAGGCCTGGGCTGCGTTGAAGGCACTCCCGGTTGGACCAGTCGCCCTGGTGCTGAGGAATTCGAAACACTAGCTTCCCATGGGATTTTCCAAGAGCAAAACTTTATCGTAACTTGACGTAGCAATATTCTTTTGTCATCTCATTGTTCTGCAAATGCATATGTTGAAAAGACGCATTTACATAACGGGATCAGAAGATGCATTTCCTAAGAAGTTAGAGATTAATGCAATGTATCAATCCCTGACTTTACATTGACTTGTAAACATGTAAATATGCACACTCACAATATCGCGAAGTGTAGTTAATACCTATCTATTACTTGATTTTACACGTTTTCCCAAAACTGCATACTGTACTCATATTGGGAATGTTGAATACTTTTGGCTAGTGAAATCAGAACGCCCTGGGCCGAATTAGTCCAGTGACATGTGAGCACCTCTCCGATTCGGCAGTGCTCGGCTTAACAAGAGTAATTCGACTGCCAATGTTTGTCGAAGAGTAAAAATGCTGATTGCTAACAACATTCAATTTAGGGAAGTGCTCGAGGGCTCCGACAAATTTTATTTAACTTACATTGTCACTTCATTAGACAGAGGGTACATGTTGAATTTGTACATACAAAGTATCATCTTCTCCGTTATAAGGTAAACTTATTAGTGACACAAAGACTGCTCGTTTTGTTGCAATTATTTATTTGTTAAAATTTTTACTAGTCTCAACAGTAGCAATAGCTTTTTTTATCAAGTGTAGTTATTAATTAAACTCTTCCAAATTTATATGAAGTAATAATTATGAGTGCCATCACTGCAAAATTTCACCTAACCATAATCAAATCAAGTTGAGTATTTTAATAACTTTGGAAAATCAAAGAAAAGCACTATTCAGAGTGTAGCTTATGTAAAACTTTTATGTTCTCACATTTTCAATAGTAACTTTAGATAGATAACATTCCTCAGATTAAGTGATAAGGTGTATAGAAAATATATTTTTATAAACTTATTAATATATTTTGTATACTTACAATTATTATTGATGACAACATGAAGATGTTTGTATGAGTTCGATTTAAATGAATCAGATAATTGTATTTAACTTGGACATATATAGATTATTGGGATTGTCAATCAGGAGGTATCGGACGATAGTAAGGATAGTTGTTTTTTACACTGCTACTTCTTCACATTAGCGTTTGTTTATCTTGTACCTAAGTCAATGCTCAGACAGCCACAGATCAATTTGTCAAAAACTGTCAAATTTCTCTAAATAACTTTCAGCAATAGCTTTATAGTTATCTTATATTATGTAAGATGCACAATCTTTTGAAAAAAAAAATACAGTTTATGTTAACTTGATGTGTATATTACTAATATTTTCCATCCAGTTATAAACAATTGCGCTGGATTTTATTTTTCATAAGGCCGCTTGCGCCGTAATTCTTAATTTAAGCCTAATCAACTTAAGCACATCCTTGTCATCTATTAAAATAAAAAAAAGATGAAATTAAAAATTAAAAAAAAGATAGTTTTCTTGATTTAAGAACTTTGGTACAAGTAATTAAACATTTCATTTCAATTTTTTAATGTTTTTTTTACGAAGAAGGGAAACAGTGCAGAAAAAACGTTGAAAAAGGGAACGTTGAAATATTTTCTTTAGATTTAAACATCAAGCAGTTACATGCTTTAAAATAATAGAAATTAAAACTATTTTTTTTTTGAAAATTGACAATTCCTATATTTAATTGTTTCATTCTTATTAGAAAAAGAAAATCTGAACCCAAAAAGACAACGTAATAAATGCGTTAATAAGATTACATTGACTTGCCATCAAAAACGCCTTATTTATAGTTTACCATTATTAAGTAATATTAAAATTTTAAGTAATTATAATAAGAATTGATATTAATTGTAAATATTTGTTTTCTGATAATTTAATTTTTGTACTAATTCTTGTCATAGGATATAGTTTTGTGTATACTAAACAACGAGAATTTTCATCGAACCATTATGATCTATTTATATAATAATTATGAAATTATATTCCTGTACCTATTCCGAAATGGAATTATATTCTTTACAGTTATTTATTCTTGTTTTATTACCTTCTTGCCCTTTTTTGGTATGAACAATAACAAGTATTTCAAAATTAAAGCCTGCCGGTATTAATATCGGATGCTTTATTATGATATTTCGTCATACTTCTATTGCGTCGTTATTATTGCAGCATTGTGTAACTTCGTAGCCGTTCTCATACCCAATGTACTAACTTCAAATATCGCAATAACGCGTTCGAATTTATCGACCGATAGCAACGCGCCTATGCGGGAGCACGGAGCGGACGCTTTGTGCTCCCGCTTAACGCTGCATATGCCCTTAGGAGGTTCCCCCCCATAGGCACTTCCCGGCCCCATAAACCGATTATTATAATGTTGCAACATGGTGGTGACGCGCTATGAAAAAATAGCATAATTATGTGCTAACACAGTTTACAAACAAATTTACTTAATCTGGCCATAAATAATGTAAGAATAGAAAACCGGATAAGTGTGAGTCGAACTCGCCCACTGAGGGTACCGTACATTCTTTTTTGATCGTGGTCGCAGATGACCTCTACAGCGTCACCGGGTTTGGCGACGGCGAGATCCTAGAAGGACTTCAAGCCGAGAATTGGCGAGTGCCTCTAGAAGTATTCCAGGCGGATGGTATCTCCCCACGGGAGGAGTCTCCTCTCCGTCTGGAACCTCTAGACCACTCGAACCTGAGGGGGTCGGCTCAACTAGAGGGCGTTGTAGTTACCCGTTGATGTGGGGGGTGGGGAAAAATGCCCAGGTACATAACTGTACCTGGTATAGCGTGTCGTGTGTAGACCGGGTCTTCACACTCTTATCCTACGGGTGCGGTGCCTGGCTAATGCTAAGCTCGTGTGCAAGAATACTAGCTGTGTAGTGTTTGTGGCCTGTGTGGGAGGAGTCGGAGGAGCGTTGGCGCGGGTGATTTTGTCGTCGCAGTATTCTAAGACGTGCCTAGGCCGATGGATTCGGAGGGACCTACGATTGGAGGACGGGAGGGCGGTCGTGTGATAACTAGAGGCTTTGACTACTAACTACAGATGATGCGCGGCTTTATCAAAGTAAAGCCTCGAGGCGTCCTTCATATACTTCGCGGTGGAGTCTAACTTGAGATCGCGATGCAAATTGATTTTGCGCACGTACCACAGGTAACCGCGCATCACAGAATTTTGCAGCTATTGTAATAGTTTAATTAGGGCGGATGCAAGTTTTGTAAAATGTCAACTTATGCCTAAGTGACATTTTACTACGCTTCCCTATGAGGTGGACTGCCGCGAATTAATGCTGCGCGATCACGAACTATCTTGAGATGAGGTGCAAACGTCAATCGGTTATCTAATGTGACTCCCAAATACTTGACCCGGTCCCTCCAGGGGATGACCTGGTCGGCGGGTGCGCCATTTGGAGACGGGTTCCACGACCACACCCGCCCTCTCGGCATGCACTAGGGGGACCGCGATCCTCATAGTGCGTGTCGGGTGACGGTGCAGGAGTATTGTCTGGTTTTTAGTGGCCCTGTTCAGGACTTAGGGGGGGCCCTGTTCACATCAGCGAGCTCCAGGGCTGGCTGAAGAGGACAGGGAGGAGTCCCACTTAACTTCTACTCGCTCCCCCAGTGGTTGAAGGATGCGTAAGGCATATTCCAGACACAAAAAAAAGGGGATGACCTGGTCAAATAATTGGATGCGCAGAAGAGAACGCGTGGGAGACGGTGTCGTGCTAAAGAGGATCGCGACGCTTTTTCCGGATTAACCTCGAAACGCCATCTACGGAATCAATCCCCAAGGGTGGTAGCGGCTGACTGAAGTCTATTACAGACTGTTCCGAGACGTCTATCGGAGGCAAAGAGGGCTGTGTCGTGGGCAAAAAACGCGAGATCGACTGTAGGAGTCTTGGGAATGTCGTTCGTAATGACCGAGTAGAGGTTGGGCGAAAATGGCGAGCCTGAAAAAAAGTCCCGTATGATGAGCACGAGTCTGTCCGGTACCTCGAGTTTGTATTGCTTATAAATTAAGCAATTATGCTAGAATTTGTCGAATGCTTTCGCTATGTCGAAGAAAAGCGCACCTTTGGAGATTGTGGAAGCTCGAAATAGATCGCGGTAGTGGAGGATGTCCTCCTTTAGGCGGTGCACTTGGTGGACACACGAGTGTTTGGGACGGAAACTAACTGTTCGTTCATAATAAGATTGTTCGCGAAAAGAAAATCCATAGTTATAAAGCGGCTAGCGAGGGCGCGTTCGTAAAGTTTCCCCAGCGTTTTGAGGAGACTTATAGGGTGGTAGCTAGTGGGTAAGGTGCGGTCCTGACCGGCCTTCCAAATCCCGATAAAAACGGCCTCTTTCCACTTTGCGGTAAATATCGGTTGCATCATAGCCGCGTTAAAGATCGCGGTGATAGGGCAAAGTAGTTGGGAGGGTAAAATCTTAAGTACCTTACTAGAGATTCCATCTAACCCTGGGGCGCTGCGCGGGCAAAGTTTGCTGATTAACGAGTGTACCTCATCTACAGTGACCGATTCAATGTTGGTGATGGGCGGTACGGAGGAGGACTTTTCTACTTCCGAGTCGTCTAACTGGCGTGTGGTTCCATACAAAGTTGTAGGTACGCAAAATGAGCGGCCGTATCTTTTTTAACGTTGACTTAGAAGTATGAGTTTTGCAGAGCTGCAAAGGACCATAGACTTGAGTTTATGGTTTAAATTTCAACTGGATACCTCAATGCTTTCTCGAGATAAAGGGTCTTGGAGACAGACAGACTTGAGACTGTAGATGCAGACGGGACCAATTAGTTAGTTATCATCCCTATTGTAGTTAATAATTACAAAACCGTAATAAAAGAGATCAAGTCGATTAAGAAATAAAATAAAACAAGAAAATATATTTAATATGATCTATTACTGGTAGACTTTAACTACTTTACACAAAATATAAATATTTCAAATGCAAAAATATTTAGGTACCATTTTAGAATAACACATACTTACAAAAAACTACTCTTGCATTTCAGTATCATTAAATGATAATTCATAAGGCTTTCAATGTTTTCCATTCGATCATTACTTCTTTACATTTCGTAGCTTATAATTAATATAGGTATATGTAAACATTTGAGGTAAAAGTTTTATATAAAATGTAATTTTTACCAATTTCAAATGCATAAGTCTTGTATAAAAATATACATACTCTGTAAACTTCAACTTTTTCCGACATTTGATGTGTTTTCCAATTTTCAATATATTTATATTGAAATTATAAATTTTAGATTGTATACTTTTGTTACATGGGATTATTTATGCCTTCGCAAAGCAATATAGTATGAAATTATAAAAAAATGATAGGTATATTACATTTACCATTATGGAGCAATTACACTTGGTCATTAGCCCGAATACGATTGCCTATGGAATGGAGAAGTATACGCAAAGCTCGACATAGATGGCGCTGCAAACGCCTGACCCAAACCACACCGAATATTGCAGCTGTCAAAATCTTAAACTTGTTTTTTTGTTGTTAAAAATATTAAATAAGTGGTAAAAGTGTATTCAACATGGTCTGTAATATAGCTGAAAATAGAGTTGAAAAGGAGAGGAGCATCTGTGCAAGACAGAAAAGCTGATCTAATAGAAAGGCACTCCTTCTATTATTATTTTAGAATACTCATTCTCGGTACATAGATGCATTTTTCATGATTATTTTAATAGTTCATGGATCTCAGTAACTTTAAGCGGGCTCATTTGTCAAATCTATCTTATTTTTGCTTCAGTCAGACATCACATAGAGTTAGGTTACGTCTGGCTAAAATGAGAAGTATAACATTGGGTTTTATTTACAGACTTGAGGCATATGACTGCAATTTTAATTTTGGTGCAGTTTTTTCTGATCAAAATGATAACACGCCGATGCAATTACCTATCCTAGATACATATCATGGTGTAAACAGCAGCTCAGATTTACCCCCCCCCCCCCCCCCCCCCCCTTCAAAGCAACATAAAATTATATTTTAGTCGGGATGCGTGCAGTTTTCGTGCACAACAACCAGAAATTGCACAATGCGGCATTTGTAATTTGTTTAATAAGAAGCTTTAAAATGAATATAAGCTAATAGGTATGTATTTGATAGAAGTTTTGGGTCAAGCGATTACAGCGCCCCTGGTGGGAAAATTTTGCAGATTTCTTGTCCATTTGCACAAACTACTAAGTGTAAATGAACAGATTCAAGTACGCCCGTATTCGGATAATTTTCCTTTTAGGTTACCCGACGCTGTTTTCCAGTCCGTATTCGAGTAAAATCAATGTAAATATTGCATCGGGTGCCAGAATTCGAGTAATCTCTTCCGTGCACCCGAATACGGGCTAACGATCAAATGTGAATGCGCCATAACATATCGTAAAAACATAAGCCCCAAAAAAGTTTATCTTAATTCTATGAATGTGTTATAAAATTATTTATGTAGTTTACTTATTAAAGTTATTTCTACATTACAAAGTTAAGTTAAAGTCAAACTTACAAAAAAAGTAAATATCTTTATTAAAGTTACAATCCACTTCTTTTGAAATACTTCTTTGAATATTATATCACAGATAATTTTAATACCTTTGTTTTACCATTAACTGTGAATGTAGGTTAGAATTTCTATTGATTTTCCTAAAATATGATATTGTATTAAAAATACATGCGTAAATCCTTTTTTTATCATTTTTGGTTACGTACCTCATTATTTTTTGAGAAGTATTAAACCTAATATTGTTAAAGAATTTCTTATTGCACCTGCCTCCTAGGCGGGCCGCACACCAGACATAAAATTGTATTAGGATAATAGTGGCGCCACATTTGAAACGCGACACATTTATCGCGTGTCAAAATGTAGCGTGCATATTGTGGCAAGGTAAATGTTGCGTGTATGTGCCCTGTGGCTCCGGTGTGCGGCCTCACTTACGTAATTTTATTTACATCAGTATTACATAGTCTGAGAGGGTTGTTATTAGCTAGTGTTCGTTGTTGTAAGATGTTAAAGATAAAAAAAAAACATATCAATGATAAGATTGGTTATGATCATTAATATCTTATGTTAAGGTAATAACATTGTATTGTAAAACTACTTATACACAGTTACTTTGTACAATTTCGGGGAGTTTTGATAATGATCAAGAAATTGTCTTTTAACTAAGACCGGGGCCGCACTGGTACGGCGACTGCGATGAAGCGACGGCGATTTTGTGGAAACAAACTCATATAAACACAAATATGTCGGTGACGTGGCCGCACCGCAGATGTTTCTGCTCGTTCTGCGCCCACCCCCCACGACAACGGCTAACTAGAGCCGAGGACCGAGTCTCAGAGACGCCCTCTAGTTGAGCCGACCCCCTCAGGTTAGAGTGGACTAGAGGCTCAAAACGGAGAAGAGACTCCCCCCGAGGAGAGATGCTATCCGCCAGGAATACCTCTAGACTTCTAGAGGCACTCGCCAATAAAATACTCGGCTTGAGGTCCTGATCTCGCTGTCTCCAAAACCGGTGACGCTGTAAAGGTCATCTGCGACCAGCAGCAAACACAACCAAAAAAAAACATTGTTCTGCGCCGTCGGCGTCGCGTCGCGTCAGAGTCGTCGTACTAGTGTGGCCTTGGCCTTATAGTTAATAGCATTTTTAACAAGCTTCATTATGAAGTTGAACATTTTAATTCGATGTGTGATATTCTTAAATTGAAGACATTAAACTATACATTAATAACTGTCGATAGTTTTGTTCTGATACTAAAATGACGAATTTCTGTTTTTACAACATACGGTAACATAGCATAATAATGCCTATTCAATAAAACGGATATGGCCTTTACTCACAAGAAAAAAGAAAAGAAAAGAAAATCGCATTTTCTTCAAATAATTTGTGCAAGCCTTTTGTGATGTATAAGATATGCAGATACGATAAATTTTCTTGTGGTAGAGGTATATTATAGTCACATAATATTTAAAATACGCTGTGTCAAACTTCCGATTTTCGAATCAAGAAAGATATTTATACTGGAGCATGGCTAATAGTATTTGCTATTTGTAAACAGTCTCGCCCACTCACTTCCTATACAGTATGAAAAGGATAACCTGCTGTCAAAATGACAAATTACAAACCGAATAGCCATGCGAAGTGCCCGCATAACGTAATATTTTCTTCGGATAACATCTAATGGTATTGCCGAAAGTCTATTGTATTATTTAAATCTTAAGTTTTTAATAATAATTCAATTGATTTATTTTAAGGTTCATCGTGAAATTGAAATCTCTATTGTGTTATGAAAATCTGTGTTGGTATTTTTTACTCAACAGAGTAGTAACAGCCTTAGGACTTCCATGTAACACCAATAGATCTGAGGCACTTCTAATATCGCATTAAAATAATTTGTATCTTGCATTGTGAAGTACTTGTATAAGGAACCCACCGCCGGCAAGGAGGGCACATGCAAGAGTTTTTAGTGAGTAGGGTTCCCCCATCCCAGATAGCCGTTGAGCCGACAGGGTGAGTAACACATAACCCCGTCGCCATACCCAGCGGCGGAATATGCGTCATGCGTTTTCTCTGGGTAAGAAAGGGTAGAAAATCTATGCCCATTCCTTTCAGAGGTACATTTATAGTTGAATATGTGCTGAGCCACCCTTAAAACTTCATTCCAAATTTTCCAATCAAATTCCAAGTTTCTCTTTTCTTATTTTGTAATTTTCTTGCTTTCCTTCCATTATAGTCATTTATTAAGCGGTACTTATTTAATTTTTAGTAATTAAAATTCGAGTCAAATGTAATCGGTTTATTATTTGAGTGAATATGGTTTTCACAACCCTCCACCCACACCGCAGATCGTGCATTCCACACGTAAAAGAAATTATTATCATGCTACGGAAGCGTCACAAGGCACATTGCAGATGGTTGACAGGAGTAGAAGTTATTTGGCTTAGCATAGTTATTCATAAAAAGGGTATTGTAAGCTGCGTTCGGTATTTGCGTCTGATCAATCTTTTTTATCTTTTTAGTTTTATTACATCTAGAGCCAATCTGAAGCTTTCGGTAATTCCGCTCAGATCGGTCCGATATAAATCAGTTTGCTCGGAGTATTTTGACCAACAAGAAAGATTAATCTGTTATCTGTCATGTTGTAAGGTGTAAGGTTGTTGCTATTTGAAGTTACAAATTAATCTTCGGTTGGTCGGGCCGTTCGGTAATAGCAATTTGCTCAGATTAATCTGTGATGATATGACCAAAAATCCGTCGCCTTTGCGATGCAAATACCGAACGCAGCTATAATTTGTTTTAGTAGGCTTTTAGGCGGCCATTAGACGGTAGTTTTGCTGGCAGTCAACGTTATGACTGATCTAATGGGGTGACAAATGACTTTTTAGGCGTCATCCGTCAATCCGACAATGACTGCATAAGCATCTAATAGACGCCTTACAGCGTGGAGTAGTTAGCCGCCTGCGCGCGTGCGTCCGCGCAGCAGGCGCAGGGCAGTCAGCGAACGGGCGCGCGCCGAGCTACCCGCAGCAGGACAGGCCCCGCGCGCACGTCTTTGAACAGTCTGATTGCCTCGCCGTGTGTGAGCCCAGCGGTGCCTCTTCCGTTCACAGAGACGATTTCGTCACCTGGAAAATACATACAGTTACTGTAGTAGACTGATTAATAATTAAAATTATCTAGTTTATTATTTAGGCGTACTTCAACCAAATTTCCTGGTTCAACTTTAAAACCTAAAAGCTTCATTCTATCTCTATTTATCTTCAAATAACTAACAAAGATGAAAAATTCGGTGAAAGTTGGTCTTAGAATTAGTGTTGTGCCCAGAAATTTGCAATTTCTCTGGGATAAAACAAAAGAGTTTAGAAGGATTTTATAATAGTAATCAGAGCCAATGCAAGGATAAAATGACAAAAAATAGGTAACTATATCGAATATTTCGTAGCCATCTCTATGCCAATTTTATTATCACTCGGTAATTCTACCCTTACAATCATTGGAATGGTATACGGAAGAAGCAGACCATGACGGATACGCTAGACCGCTCGTTTATAGAATTGAACACATAGGTATAAAGTTACCACAGTAGACTGTCGGGCGGAGCAAATAAAATAAATTAATCTATGATTTGGCATTCTTTTTTTGAATAAACTAACAGATGGGCATTCTAGTTAAGACTTGTTATCCACAACAAGCATAAAAAATATTAAAAATCCATAAATAATATAACATTAGAAATTAATCTTAATGATAATTGATAAACTTTATGTAGATACGAGACTGCTTTGTTATAATTGGCGTCTCGCATGTGAGCAATGAACGATTTGACGTTTTGTTTGCGCTAAGTTAAAATACAATTTTTAAAGATGCATCAACTTTTTCATCTGGACCAGTCTGCCGGCTTTTCCCTATTTATATACTTTTTTACATTAAAAGTTCAAGCCATTATCAAGGTTGTGTTTGTTTCAAGGTAATAATCAAATCAATGTTAATTAAGATTATAAATACGAATACTCAGTGCTATATATGCAATTATTTACACAAATCATTCGCATCGTTTCACATTCACACTCGTACAATACTTTTTGCAGAAGTTAATTACTAGTTTTAGATAAAAGTATCAACGTAGTAACTATTATGTAATCAGTGCTTCAGCATTCAAACAAGAGGGTTCTTAAGAATCATTAACCTTCTCAGTTTCATTAAGTTATTTTAATAAAGAAAAGAAAAAAGTGGTTAAGTAAATGTTAAAAGGGCAGCCCATAGTTACTTACAACAAACAAACTAATATTATTTAAGTATGTATGCTATTTTCTGTTTGTAAGTATGCTTATAACCAATAAAAAAAACAATATATACACGCAACCAATTCTGTTAAGTTATTAATAACATGTACATGCTAAATTGATCTTAAATTAGCATAATAATTGTCATTTCTGAATGCTTACATAACCTTTTGGCTATTTATATTTCAGTGCAGGTGTAAGGCGTAAGGTTAGTATTTAGGTGGAGAACAGCTGACTCACAAGAACCCCCAGGAATGTACACTTGTTCGCTGCACCTTTTCAACGTTTAATATTAAAAAGAATAAAGGGCAATGAATAAGACAACCTTTCGTCCTTATTTGGTAATAGTCCTAGTTCAATAGCTGTTAGTTCTTTAGTTGCAAATTCTAATAAAGATAATATATATTACATACCGTATTATACCATACCGTAGATGTACGCACATCTACGGTATGGTATAAGCTATTTATGATTTTAGTGCGGTAAGTTGGTTATTACAAACGAGTAGACGAATGTAAGCCCGTGAAGAAGTCGACGCCTTACCATGGTCTCGAATTTGTAAATACTAATTCCACACGAATATCATACAACGTTTTTCAACACATTTGCACACACCAACCTAATTTAAGAAAAGCAAACTTTTTCTAATAAGATAATAGCGCGTGTTTCCAAATGGCGCCACGTGTAGGTGGTGAAAATTATAACTACACCTGTCGTCTCTTTTCATTTTTAGTATTAAAGTGAGACAAAGGTATAGATTAAAAGCGATTCCAAGGAGGTTCGATCGAAATAAAAAAAAACTGTAAAGGATACGCACGATGTCACCTATGGGAGCGTGCGGTAAAGTGTTAACGTCACGCACGTTCCGTTGTATGACCCATAATTTTGATCTTTCGAACAAAGTATACAACCTCCGTAAATGCATATTTGAGCAAATGTGTTGAAAATGAGTTTAATCAATTGTGGATTTTTTGTGTGAGAATTTCCTGTTTTACTAACGGCTGGTAGGACACGCTCTGTGCACATTAGATTGTGTGCCTACATTATTTGTTTTATATTTAGGACGTCTAATTATGTCATTGCTAGTAGTTTATTGTCTTTTGTTCCAAAACATCTAATACTTATCTAAATATACATTTATTATGCGCCACGTTGTTGTTCCGGGATGGACATCTAAACTACTTAACCGATTTTAATCTTTGCACACCATCTGCAGTTTGATCCAACTTGAAAGATAAGATAGCTTCATCTCAATTTATAGTCGCAATATTATTTTATTTGAAATTATTACTTTTGGTCGGTACAAAGTTCTGGGTCAGCTATTTATATTTTCTAGATTTATATATTTTATTTATAAATCTATAGAAAATATATTCTAAATAATAAGTAATAAGTAGTCAAAATTAATAATTAAAATAAAAACATTAGAATGTGTTTGAAATATAAAAAGTTATGTTTTCAGCAAATTTCGTGAAAAAAAAAGTTATTTTGTGAAAGATAAAAATGAAAAACCAAAAGTAAGTTATTTAGATTTTGCAGTTTCGCGTGAGAAACCCTTCAAAAGGTAAACCTTTTCCGATCTTAAATCGCTCGTAAATTATTTTTAATCTTTTTCAAATGCTTTCTTCTTGCTTTTCAAAGTTCTCATTTTTTTTTATTTTTTTACATTTTACCGAGTCATCCGCCCTAGCCTAAACATTATCGCTACTAACATTAAAAGTTTAAAGGAAAAGTCTACCACTACTATCAAAACCAAGTATTATCAATGTGTGATTGAGTGATGTGTTGTGTATTTATTTTATGACTAGCTGACCCGGCGAACTTCGTACCGCCTTAGCGTAGCTTTGATGCACTACTTTATTTTGTATAGCTTTTAAATTGATTGACATTTGCCAGTGCGGTTATCGATGTGGTGTCACAGATTACCACAGATTTTTTGTTTTAAATTGAATGACGTTGACATTCGTTACGTTATATTTTTCAATCTTTCTGAGAGATTTTCGTTATATTTTTTTCCGTAAGAACCTTGTACAGAGTATTAGAAAACTACAAAAAAAAAATCAGGCAAATCGGTCATGCCGTTTTCATGTTATGTCGTGACAACGGAAAACGGGTTTCATTTTTATATATATAGATTGAATACTTTATTACCACTTGAAATTCAATTTGGCGTGATACTATGAAATGTATTAGTTTATACCTTCTCTCAATAAACCGGACTCAGCAGCTTGGCCATTGTTGAATATTGTCTTCACAAATATGCCCATGTCTCCTCGCGGTGAGTCCCTGCCACCGACTATACTGAATCCAAGGCCTTTGCCCCCAGCAGACTTCGTAAAACGAACCTATAATACGAGTTAAAATCACATTTGTGTGATTCACACAAAGAGTGTTTAAAATGGATGAAAAAGCATTTAAAGTCACTAACATCATTCGGTGACTATTTTATTTACTAGAAAAAATATTACTGTAATAGATTATGACATTAATTATTACTTACTTCGAATGTATGATTATCCCTAGGTTCAGGTGCCGGTGGTTTTTTACTCTGATGATTTGACGGTGGCGCGGGGGGCGGTCGAGCTGACCTTGGCGTAGCACTAACCCTCAACTCGGCGACACCGTTGCGCAAATGCTGCATCGCATCTTGCCGCGATTGTACTCGTGGTAACCTATACGGTTCCTCCCACAACCTTTGCGATTCATCAGCCGTTAAGCGGCTATAACCGTTCCTGTAGATAGGTACATCTAACTCCACATTTTCACTGTATGGTCGGCGACTTCTACTTTCATTGCTATTCTTTCTCCTTTCTGGCACGTAGCTGTAGTCTACCACATCACGACTTTCGTCTTCGTTACTTATTAAAGGTGTGCGGGTTCGTGGAGCAGGCGATGTTTTGTTGGAACGGTACACGTTTGGGGAACTGCATCTTCGTCGAAGCGTGGCGGACTGACGAGGCGGAGACGGCGATGCTGGCTGTCGGACAGCCGTTGGACTAGGTACGTAGAAAGTTGCCGGTTGTTGTTGCGGTGGAGCTAAGACGTCATGTGCTGATAGAGCTCTTCTCCTCAATCCTCCTCCTAGTTTCCCAAGCGCTCTCAACAAATCTGGTGCACCACTTGTAACACGCAATGAAGCTGTAGTATACACTTTTCCTCGGTGCCTGAAGGAAAGCTTTGAAGGTGGAGCTGGCGAGCAGTGCGATGGCGGTCTGGGCGGTGATGGAGAGCAGCGAACTGGACTAGGCTCCCTGGTTCCAGACCCAGGCCTCAATCGGGAACAACGACGTCTGAGCTTTCTCCACCTTTGTGATAAGTTTGCATTCCAACCTTCCTCTGAAATTCAAAGAAAAATCTTTATCGTCCGTGAACAAGATATAGGTATCATGATAAATTAAATCTAAAGGACATCGATGAAATCGGCCCTAGCATGCCCAAAAGAAGGTCCTTCACTATTATTTTTCTATTATTTTTTTAACTTATTAGCAATTAATCATAGTTAACGGACAATCTGTTTAAAAAAATAAAAAATATAAGTTCTGTTACTAGATACTACAGTCTGTTCATTCAACTTGTCCTATTTGGTAAACAATCATGGCACTCCCATTTATTGAAAATACAGCATTAAAAATCAACTGATAACTGGATTCAATAGGTTTCAGTCTATAATAACGATTTATTTTAATAGTTTATTGGCTTCGTTAATATTTTATTTTTAAGCGGGTGATTTTGTTAAAAAGTTGTGCCAAGATTGTTTACCTTAATAAATGCAATATAGGCGACCATAGGTATTTATCAACATAAAAATAGAACTAGGTATCTTAGTTAATAATACTTATCACTAGTATTTATATTATATTTATAAAAAGATTATTTTTGAAATTATGTAAAGATAGTTTATACTCCCATCCCATGTAATATCTGTTTATTTTTATGAAAATCATAGTGATAACCAGGTTCATACCTAATTACCGATAATAAAATATAGAAACAGGTAAATGGAAAGACTTTGAACATTTCATTTGAAAAGAAATCTATTATTACTACAGGTAGGTATCATAGGTGCCAACTGCCAACACTCATAAATCAATATGAATATAAGCATTTATTATTTTTATTATTAATTACATTTTATGTTCCTTTAATGCATATCATTTAAGTGGTTACATAGCGGAAAACTCTAAATCTATTCGGAATAAATAAAGTGTACATCTTTTACGATTTCTAGGGCATTCAATGTATGGGGAACGAGCAATGTCCTTTTATAAGTGTTGAATTCACTTAAAAACTAATGTATTAAAATATTAGTCAAGTTGAAAGTATTTAATAAACACGATTGCAGTTATTAATTCCATCATTCCAACTGGACCTGTTCTGTAACGTCATATTAAAAAATATTTTGATTGTGTTTCCTTATATTGTCAATTTTAACGGCTCTGGAATTGCTTAATATAGTAAATATTTTTTTTTTCAAAAAGATGTTTACCACTAGCTATTCCAATAAGAGTACCAGACCCTAGTCCAGTGAGGTTATGTGAAATACGCTGAATGAACTGGTGATAATTAGGTGCAACCACGCATGCAGGTAGGTACTAAGTGATCTTCAAATTTTGACACGGGATTCTAGGTAGTTGTTTACCTTTTTTGTTAGTGTCTGCGTTGGAAGCGTTGAACGACGCGCGGGCGGGGTGAGCGTGTGGAGAAGGAGTATCGCCGCCACCGCGCTAGGCCTATGCTTGGGTGCCCATCGCTGCTGCTGCAAGTCCATGTTTGTTTTTCTTGGTAGTTGTTTACCTTTTTTGTTAATGTCTTCGTCGGGCGGGGAGGCAGGTGCGGTGATGCTGTGTCCCAGCAGCGTCATCCGCAAGAAACGCGGCCGGTCACCGCCGCCACGCGAGCTCCATGCTGGGGCGCCCATCGCTGCTGCTGCAGGACCAATGTTTGTGTTTTTTGGTAGCTGTTTACCTTTTTTGTTAGTGTCTGCGTCGGAAGCGTAGTCAGGCGCGCGGGCGGGAGGAGCGGGCGGGGAGGCTGGCGCGGCAAAGCTGTGTCGCAGTGGCGTCATGCGCAAGAGACGCGGCCGGTCGCCGCCACCACGGGAGCCCCATGCTGGGGCACCCATCGCTGTTGCTGCAAGACCAATGTTTATTTTTATATTTGGCGTCTTGAAGTTGTAATAATTACGGTGGTATTGCTAAAAGGTTTTTATTAGAGCTAATGAAATCCGCCTTGAATGTGAATATTGAAAAAATTTAGACAGATATAAGTAAGTATGTGTTGAAATATGCCAGCGTTTAGTTAGAAATAATGTACTGCTATATCGTGTCATTTTTTTGGATGTACATCTAAAGTACGATTTCACGGCATAGTTGATATCTATTTAACTTTTAATTGCCTATTATTTTTGAAATTGCCTACTTGGCTCCACTCGCATTAAATACCGTTTCCCGATTAAACAAACTACTATTATGCATGTTAGCATCATAATGATAACTGTTCGTGTAGCATAATTAAACAGACCAACAGAAAACAACACAACACAACCTAGCGTGTTTCCCAGCGCAATCATAAGGTACCGTCAGAGTTTATTAACCCAAATAATCACATATCGCTTTAAATAGCAATCACTTGTGATTGTAAGAGGGTCTTGCACGCATATTGAAGAGAGTAGGTACTTATCTGCGTTTAACGGTTTCAAATAAGGCAATAGTGTATTTATCAGTACAGGAGCTAGAGCATTAAAGGCTACTTTTGTATGATCCAAGTTAATGCATAGAACAAACGTTGTCCACGCTAGCGACACCCACGCGGCGTGGGTTTAGGTCGGCAAATAACCAACGTCCGGTGATCAGGGCTTAATGTACAACTTGCCTGGCTATTTATGGTTATCTGTGTCTTTAGAGGCTTGAAAGATTAATTTTATAGCATAATTAATATTACAAGGCAGTACATTCAGCTATCTGGGGCTCGAGATCCTGTGAGTCAATGTCACTTATGTTATCGTCGAAGTGTAATAATGGAATGTCTTAATTCAGTTTTTTAAATAGTAGCTACAACACAGTTGCGACTGAGCGATTCCATCCGATCCTTAAAGAAATAAAATATAAGTATTCATATTTTGTTATTTAACAGAACTTAAGTTATGACACCGACGTTTACATTTCAAAAAACCTAGACTTATATCGGGACCAAAAAGATGACTTTCGATCAAAATCTTTTTTACAATGTCTATCATTATTGCAGATAATAAAACTGTTCTTTTTGTTTTAGCACTAGTTCTTCAATATATTTTCCTAAATGATAAAATAGATGTTAAGAATTATATTTATAATTTTTTTTAATAAGGGCATACCTATGGATAGTTCGACAGTCGAGAAAGTTGCTTTTCATCACTACAAACTTTCCTAATCTGTTCATGATAAGTAATATATTTGTTTAGTACGTGGAAACAAAGAAAGTCTGAAGATGGTGACAACGCAACGCGCAATGCTGTCAGCGCCGTTGCGGATATCCGCCCTACGTGTGATCGCTTCACCCATACCAACTACTGTACCAGAGCCGGATTTCGGGGACGGCAGGTGGTACTGTTGCCCTGGGCCCCCAGGAAATAGATAAAAGAGAAAACACAAGTTGAGGGGTAAGCAATATCAAAGTTTTTTTTTCAGTATTTTTTCGCCAATCGTATTTAAAAACATTATTATAAAGTTAGTTTTACACAAACATAACACTTTGTTTGAAATAATATTTTCTTTATTATTTTGGAAAACATAATTTTGGATTTTAATTCCAAAAACAATTAGTGAACCCGGCTTCTTCGTTGCCCCACGGCCTCCGGACTTTAAAGTACGGCCCTGTACTGCACCATACACACATCAAGCTTTTACGTGACTCTTATCTCAATTCGGTAAGCATTGTAAAATCTTTCAACCTTTAACAATAAGAGATCGCGTGCTGACACGTTGTAAGTACCGAAATAACGACATTACTGACAGTAACGCAATTATACTCGTAGTTCCGAGTCGCTTTCTTGGGGATTAACTGGTTCTGTTGTGCTCTTGACACATATGACCACAAGCTTGATGTAAGCGGCATACGCTTGGTAATGAAAGCGGCGTACGCTTGTTATGGTTTGTACTAAACCGCAAGACATTAATCTCCAAGGAGATTCTACCCCAGGGTTTTATTTCAGCGATGGAGATAAGCTTTTCTGTTTCCTCTTAGCGTGTTTACAGATGAGGGAAAAAGACGGCAAGTCTTCGACTAACATTCGTGACTATCTATATAGTGAAAATGGGACCCCTGTGGACAATGTCTGTAAGTTAATTCTCGATAGGGGCAGTATTTAATGGTGATAACGGTGACTCCATTAGAGCACGAACACGCGAACCAACTGGAACCGCTCGAAAACAGGAGAATGACATCAATCATTCGATTGATCCCGTAATAAAAGAGATGCGACAATGTAAACGGTCAACAATATTATTAATTACTTAGGTAATATTTATGAAGTTCGGATTCTGACAAGGTTTTTAAATGAACGTGTTGTATGTTCGATTAATACAATAGGCTAATGTTTGTTTTATGAACAATAGCATTCGTATATTCGCATTGTGTATAATGTATAGATAGCTGCAGGTCAAGTAACCAGAAAATGATAAATTTCTCCAAACGATTCTGAGGTTTTATTTTCTTTGATACTTATAGAAAATTCGAATTTTTGTGGTATCTTTATGTGGACTGCACATTTATTATATTATTCAAACAGTAAAACTATATTTAATTTGAGATGTAATAAAGTAATTCAATTCAATCAGTAGGTTCATTAATATTACTTTATTTATTTCTTTACCTTGGGATTTGCGGATTATGTATTTACTATTTTAACCTACAACATCATTCCGCACATACATATTTTTTATTTGTTATTTTTTGAGATATACTAACCTCCTAATATTTTTTGCAGAACTGCTATACATTTTATTAATAAGTAATCGGTAGTAGTGGTAATAAGGAAAGGGTTTAAACATTTAGATCAATACATCGTGCAAAGTGTGTTGTCAGCAAGCTTAGCCGTCGATCCAGCTGTTAAAATAAGCAATGGCATACATTTTTGGCGGACAGTCCCGTTGCATTGAATTTCGCGGTGCCTCCAAAGCGCTGGCTGGTCACTGCTCTTCCGGTGTTCGGGCCAACCAACGGTCGATTTATTCATATTAGGGAAGTACACAACTACAAATTATCATTCTAATGTATAAGCTAGAGCTTATTTGCATAGGTTTGTGAATAATCTAGGAAACCAAATATGTACCTAAGTTTATTATTTACATAAAGCAAATCTTTTATATTTAAATGTTCTACTCGATCAAAAATTAGCACTTTATAGTTCAATATTTCGCAAACGGAACGTTTAATTGAAAAATAGTCTTACATACCCCTAAGAAATTTGAAAATGACCTATTCAACGATACAACACACGATGGGGTAGACGATGATAAAAATCATCCCCAGGTTACATGTAGGCAAGCTACCCTAAAAAAAAAATTTTTTTCAAAATTTTATTCTACCATTTTGTTGATATATGATTGATATACAAATCTACAGCTTACAGCTCTCTAGTGCTAACAGTCTCTAAGCAAAACCGAGGACGGACAGACAGGCGGACATGACGAAACTATAAGGGTTCAGGACTACGGAACCCTAAAAAAAGATCAAAAGTTTACACAAAATCAAATGCATAAGTAAATTGAGAGAAATCAAGAAACACCATCGATCAACAAGCAAGAAGACCAAATTAAAAGGTCAACTTTCATTAATATAATTATTATGTTTGTAATGAGATGACATAGTTCCACATTTTATCTTGATGATTGATGACATACCAATGGAAAGCGCAACAAATGGAGACAGGTTGCACTCCCACGTCTTCCGTGGCAGCTTACAATGAAATTTCTTCATGTTAGAAAGAAAATTCTATTGAGACTAATTAATTACGTTGTTTTTCAAAAGCCTGAATCTACTTATAATACACTTTCTTTTCACAGCTGTTAGTGTGATGTCTACTTCAATAAAAATATGAGATTGTAGTGCATCGCTGGCGATATGGAGGCGACCAACAACCTCAAGAAGTTGGGTCATAAAGAAATTAAGTTTATTCATATCGCGGTAAGTGATCTGAAGAGCATTTAAGGATACTGTACCTAGTCGGTAATAAACGAAACTCTATATATGTTTCCTTTCAGATCTGTCTGTCATATAAACATCTAAACAGACACCTGAAGTTTTGCACAGAGTGTGTGTACGTCAAGTACATGAGTAAGAAATACAAAGAAACCAAAATCAATATCAATATTTCACAATATATTAAGCTCTGTTGCAAAATTGTATTCCAATAATTCATCTATTGCGTTCAGCACATATGTTCCCCATTCCTCAACACGTAGCGATAATATCAATAGTCGGAACAGCATTTGTAAAGGGAGCGTAGATTGTTCACCGCAAGTCTCGAAACTCAAGTGGGTACCGGTATGATCAAACGTATTGATAGAGCGAATGCACACACAGTATTGCACCCTATTTTTATTAGTAAAAGGTTTATAATGTCTTATACTTCCCATAGGGTACACTATTAGACCCCGAATCCATTAAATGTTCTTTTCATGGACGCTCAAGAGGTTTGGTTTAATAAAAGGACGCAAATGTAGCATAAAAAGTAGCTGCATATATCCGTTGTTAATAGACCAATTAAAACGTCACAAGTGGAACACTCTCCTCTCTTCAAGTCTCGAGGGATTTTCATTGAAGGGCTTCCTGGACGTGGTGAATTAATTAGGTTTTGCAACACTTGAATTAGCGCAGGTGAACTTATATTATAAAGATATTTTATTATTAGTAGAGTAGCAACCGATCCTTATCTTGACGACCTCCGTGGCCGAATGGTTTGTACGCCGGGTTTCATGGTGTCGCCGACTCGAGAGGTCCCGGGTTCGAATCCCGGTGGGGGCAGATGTTTGTGTGATGAATACGAGCATTTGTACTCCAGTCATGGGTGTTTAATATGTATTTTCTATATAAATATACTTATATATGTACAGTATATGTATTCTATCCGTTACATATTCGTAGTTTAAATAAATACCAGATAAACTTCGACGGCATCAGGGTGTAATTTTCTTTAGATTAAGGGGTCTTACAGTCAAATGCTTAAATAAATGAAATATTTTGTACCTAGTATTTATTTCCCAAGATTTACGTTTAGTCGCCGTACCGTAACATAAAATGATAATATCGACAGTTCTGTACAATTTATAACTTCATTGCATTTTTTTACTCAATAACATGGGCAGGGCTCTACACGGCATTGTTATTTATGATCAAATTCTTTAGATAAAAGGCGGTTAACTTTTAGAGAAAGATCAAGGTTAAAAATATCTTGGGTTCAACCGTTAGTACATGTTATACTAGCGGGTGTCCGCGACTTTGTCTGTGTGGGGAAATTGGTTTCTTTTACAAACTTTCAATTCCCTTTTCACCCCCTTGATTGGATGATTTCTGGGATAACAACTATATCCTTTCTCGGGACTTAAACTATATCTTTACCAAATTTCATCTAAACTGGTTAAGCGGTTTAGCGGTAGCGGTTAGCGTGAAGAGGTACCTAAACAAATAGACAGACAAACATTCGCATTTATATATAGTATGGATTGTTAGCACATTTATTTCTGTTCTATAATTATTACTGTTAGGCTTATTTACGGCGAGAATTCTAACGGGTTTGTGCCCATGTTGTCGCGCCTACGACATTAACTAAACATAAATTTATGCCCTGCTGGTTGCCGCCATACCGGCACAATGGGCCCTTTGGAATGTGACCCAGGCCTAAATTGTTACGACTCGTGAACATAATTATAACCTACCAACTTCTTAAACCACTATGATTATTTTTAAATAGTAAAGTGAACAGTGTGTTAACGTTATAATTTGACTGAATCAATTTGAAATGGGTAGGAGCGTTTGGATTTTTAAAAAAAAGTATTCGTAAAGATCTCAGATATTGTATATTTCTGTTTGTGAATAAGTTTCGGACAATTTAAAACAAATGTCTAATTAATTCCAAAGTCAGTAGAGTTTGAACTATGGAAATTAAATAATGATAAAAAAAATACGAGAGACTTACAAACGACATTCTGGGTTACGGATTTTTACATATTTATATTTTTGGCAAATATTTAAAATCAAATGAAAAATAACTTTATCTCAACGCAGATTAAAGCCAATAAAAAGCTGCAACAAAATATGCTTATCAAAACTGTTTTAACTTCAGACAAATAAATAAACAATTTCAGATAAAATGTTATAAAATAATTCAATTACTTCTTTCGGCGGTTAAGTAGGCTACGGGGCCTACTCATCGCCATAGAGAATCTGTGCAATGGCTCATAATGTATATTTGCCATAATAAACAAAGCGGTGTTCTAGATTGCAGCTCATCGAACTAATCTGGGAAACTGTTTCTCTTGCCATTATGTTCTGTAGCCTTTTATATTCAATCTTTTCACTGAAGAGAAATCTCCTGTGCTGGTTTCATATTTCTGCTAAAATACTATTATTATTTTAAACGTTGCCCAGGAGAAACGCCTTTGGAAACATCAAGTAAACTTTTTTGCATGATTATACTTTTGGGTATTGGTAGTTGGATGGAAATAATGGCATTCTCCCTTATTAATATACTAATACATAATAAGCTTAGACTAAGTTACGCCTTGTTTTATTCGTGTCACTCAAATGCCATTGGTCATTCAATGAACAGAGACAAGGTATGGAGTAACTAATCCAAATTCATTCTTCGTTTATTAATAAAGGGAATTGAGTTCAAATCCTGGTAGAGACATTTGTTGACTTTTTGCATTATTTCTTGAATTATTAGTATCTGTGCCTAGGTCGTTATTTTTATTTATGCATGTTTAATGATAAAGAAATGCAATTTTTGTAACAATATTTAGTAGTCCTTTATTAAGCAGAGGTGTAAGTATGTACTACGAAACCACAATAACAGCCATAGACCTCTACCACTATTTTGTGCCTCTACCCCTGGAACAAGTACCATTTATTTATTATTAATAAAAAGCTTCTTTTCCCCTATACAAGTCATTAGCTGCATTATCATTGTTACAACGAACTCATTGCGTTCATTGTTTTTTCACGATATTGCTTTAGTAAATCTTTTTGTTACACCTACTTATAGAGTAATAGAAGGCACTACCTGGAATTCTAAATAAAACGCCATTTTAAGAACAATAGCCTCAAACGAGCGTGTGAATATAGCTAATCCTACGCTGACGTAATCATCAACATGCTCTAATGAAATGACTCAAGCGACAATTATACGTTTAAATATGGGCTCGGCTTAGTGATGCTTAAAGAGTGTGTAGTATATAATTCATATCCACATAAGCAATGAACTTTCTGCAATGTATGATGTATGTTCGGTTCAAAACTTCCAATGGAATTATAAAGTACTTTAGTAACCTTAACCGATTGCAATCCAATTTTGCTTACAACTTTACTAACTTCGATGAGAATGCATTATTAGGCAGGTGACATCATTCTCAGCCTCACCTTATTTCATACAAGGTGCAGTAAATTACTCTGTTCCTCCTGATGATCTTCTCAAGTGTATTATGTGTATTAGAATAGTGAAGATAGCGTAACGTCAGAAAAATATGACGGTTCAGTCATTCCTACTTCTTGCTGGCCTGGATGCTATCACTTGCATATGTATCCTGGGCCTGAAACCTTACTTACTAACAGACAACACCACGAAAATACTAAAAAAACACTTCCTATTGGTGGTTTTGACGGTGAGTAAGACTCCAGGGCTCCACGGGGTAGGGAATGGGGTCAGGGTAGGCGCGAGAGATATTTTTGGTGTCGCAAGCATAGGTTTGGGAAGGGTGGCCGCTTACCATCAGGTGGGCCATATGGTTGTTTGCCACCTTTTTTAACATAAAAAAAGTTAATAAGAGTATGACGTGAATTTTATTTTCTTTGTTTTTCTGTAAGATGGAAGTTAATTTCCTAGAGCGCTATGCCTCGCTTGAGATCTCTGTACTGACTTTATAGTTCACAGTCTAGTAAATTGTTTTATCATGATCACTACTTTTAAGTCAGTAAAAAATGAATGGATTGTAAGAATGTGTAATTAATTGAAATCACCATGATTACCTTTATGTAGGGATGTTTTTTCGTGTAGCATCTGTTAACGTTAGAGAAAATAAATAATATACTACAAATTTGCTTAGGTAATAAAAACTTAATATCTACATTAAAATTATAGTCGTATTTTAATTTAAAAAAGAGGAGAGACCAAAACTAACATGAAGATTAATTTTAAAACAATCACTCTTCACCAGATGATGACACCGAAGATACAATAACGATTGCCCTATATTAATCACAGATTACTCCACCATATTATCGATGACATTATCCAATTGACAAAATTTATCTTCTGCAATTTTTTCTTAGTAGACTGAAATACATAACGTCACAAACGTAATACATATTGAGGTAAATTAATTATTTGGTAAATTGTACTTTTGGCTTATGCTGTTATTTGTGAAATTTCACTTTTCTAGAATGAAATATTTTCGTATTGTCTGTTTGGCCTTTTCTTTTTAGGAGATAAAAACAACAGCGTTTCATTGAGATTTGGACCACGACTTCTGTTAAATGGCTTGGTTGAGAGTCACCAGAGCCCGCACCCGCATCACTCATTTTATAATTTAAAACAAAGGAGAACTACAACGTAACGAATGACAAAATAAATGACGTAATATATATTATATGTGCATCACCAAAAAAAAACATCCTTACTTTTAGTTTGGTCGTATTATACCTAAACGTTTCGATGCAGGTTGCAAACTTCTGCTTCTTTGGGTTTTTCAACAGAGCCATTAAAATTATTTTTTGTAATTTGAAGTAATCATGTAGTAATATATTAATTTTCGAACTACTCTTATTATAATATGAATAGTAAACAGTTTATTTTTATGTAGGTAATTGTTTAGATGACTCAGCTTTTGCATTTTACGCATAAATTGACAAAAGCGTAATTAAACATTTATTACCACAATGAGTTGAAAACCTATAAAATATCCTTTTTTTATTTCTTTTTAATGTTATCTGGAATGAAGTATAATAAATTAATGTTATATTTTGCTGGCGATAACAAAACTAGTTAAGTGTATGTTAACTGGGTGGGTGAACCCACCTCAGTAAGTTACTAAAAAGGAGTTATAGGTATAAGAATTCATAAACAGTGTAAGTTATTATATTATATTTATACGAAGGTTTCAGACTTTCAAACAAAAACAATTATACTAAGTATTTTTCAAACATATAAACGAGAAATAAAGACTTTTAAGCTGTGATCTCAGTACATTTTGTTGTCTTAAGTTGCAGACAAGCATTAAGTCCATCTGATGGCAAGCATTTTAGACTTTCACCAGACCCTTTCATGATCCCATTTCCTACCCCGTGAAGTAGAAATAAATTAAAAAATATTACTCTTTTACTATTACCCAATAGAAGCTGAGTTAATATTTGACATGGCGTATTAAGGATGTAACGGCAAAAGCTGTAACAAGTGATGAATAAGATTGACGGATGCAGGTATCACCGCAGCTGCATATGTGGGACACCGTTCAAGGTTTCGCAAGAGTAAAAGCACCTACCTGTAATAATAAATTGTTCACGCTTGCCGTTGCAGAATTCTTGATTATTATGTAGGTACCTACTACAGTAGATGCATTCTTTATAGAGTTTTAGGTGGCGCTGCAATGCGTTGAAATATATTGAACCCTAGTGAGAAATTGGCTGTACTAAAGTAGGTATGCATGTTTGTTTGAAGTTTATTAAAATTTCCTGGGAGCACGGACTGAATTAAAAAAACAAATGTCCATAAGTTTATATCAATGAAAATTTTGTATTACTGACACGGCAAAACTTTTTTTAGTGACTTGTATGTTTTGAATGTTTTAGTCTATCGTTACTACATATCAATATAATTACATATATAAAAAATAGAACAGTCGAAAATTCCTTGATGGTTGCAATTTGAAATTGACTGTGACTTAATTAGATATCTACGTGGATCTAACATTGATTTTTGAGGTGCAGGCACTGTCATGCATGGCCTCGACTCGACACTGTATTTGTTCAAAATACGTATGTAATTGTTACATAGCAGTTAAAGAGCTGCTGAATATTGAAATGTATCAGAAGAATTAAATGAATTATTTTGCAAAAAGTGATTAGATAAGTTTTCACCTGGAAGCAGTTAATTGAAGTGACTGCAGTGGCCGCTATATTGTTGAGGCGTGGGAGACCCGGAATAGGTACTACCATTTAGGACATATTTGTGATGCAAACGTCTACCGTGTTAAGACGATGTAGGTTGATCACATTAGATCGCGTGTTTTGCCTATAAATATAATAAATCTTAGATACTCCAAGTGGTGATTTAATTGCAGTTTATAATACCTACACGTTGTTTAAATTTATAGTTATATTTAAAATTTGTCTGACTAATTGATTTGAGAAATATTTGTTGTTTGTTTTGCTGAGTTTGTTGTCTAAATGTGTGTGTAATATTTCCGTTGGTCGGGGTGATCGAAAGGCACGAAGACAATCAATTTCAACGGAAAACGGAATTTCAATCGAAACGCACGTTCCTTACTCTGTTTCTTTTTCATTTCGAAAATTCGATCGTCGGTAAAAAGTTTGGCAGTTAAATTCTCCAAGCCTACTCTAATTCACAAAACTTTCGAAATTTTAACCTCAAATTGACGAAATGAAAAGTGTTACCTTTTCATTTTCGTCTTGGGATTTTTCTTTTATTAAGCCTAAAATGACTGCTAGAGTATTTTTAATCCAGGCTGTTTAGCATGAGGAAAATTTCATTGTATGTAAAATTAAGAAATAAATCAAATTTTTATTACTTACTGTATTTCCAATACTTCAAAGTATTAAACGACAATTTTTATATTGACATACAATGGATTGTATCAACTCTACAAATTAGTCGGCTAGCACTGTCAAAGAAGTCAAAAGAACAAGAAAATTGTTTGCGATTCCGAACTTTATGTGTGTGTTCGAAAATGGGATAGAGTAGGTGGTCACTGAAGAAATTTCGTTTAAAATTTGTTCGTTGCCGGAATTTCGTTTCGGGGCTCCAGGTCTCTTTTGTTTTCGGGCTAAAAATAATAAATACCTAGACACATAAAAAGTCTAAGCAATACGCATCATTTACAGAAACTGTATGTTTTAAATTGATGTTTATTTTTTTCCCAGCAAAGTAGATTGGGATACAAGCATCTTTGTTCACAAAACTATAATTGGCTGATGTAAAAAATTGAAACTTTGTGTTTATTTATATAGAAGTTATGGTATAAATTTATAACACTAGTAAAAAACCCGTTTAAAAGTTCGAAACCGTACAAGTTGCTTAGACTTTTTTCATGAGTAATTATAGGTATTCCGGACATCTCTCAACAATTATTTAGTCCAAATAAAATGAAGTTTGGACTACGATGGCTAATTATCGTGTTGTATACACAACAAAATCAACCATGACTTTCGGTCGTAGAAGCGTGCCTGTCACCCGGTCTTCAATGAAAATACATATTTCCCTATCTATCCCTGCACTGTCAACCTCGCAATGATAACAATAATGACTGAAAGTGAACTATACCTAAATACGTAAATAAAATCCCGAGCGCTACTGACAGACAACTTAACAAAAGCTTGTAATAATTAATGCTACATTTCCCACAACGTAGGGTCCTAACCATGTGGTAAACACAAATCGGGAGCAGTGGCGTGCATGGGTCCATGATGATGATGATGATGACATTTCCCACAACCATAATAATCAGTTTCGGAACCAATTGGCAACTTTGAAAACAATAACAAACAATATCACTACTTACAAAAAGTTAAATATCTTTTTTTTATTCAGCCAGAAATACAACGCGGTAATCTACATGATGCCAAAATACCTTTCAGTGATTTGTATATATATAAGTAAAAACATTTATAATAAATCAATCTCGTTTTACAGATTGTATGAAACTTCCCATGAAATGATTACCAAACGACTTTACACTAATATCGTGATAGGTTAAAAGTGATGATAAAGTAACTTCATCCATTTTAACTGAAGTGTATTCAATAGATCAAGGACTGTGGGAGAACGCTAACATTGGAGAAAATCGACAACTTGATTTTTTATGATTTTACTCTGCAGTATAGGTATGCACGAGTCGGTAGTCATTTGGGACCGGGACCACTGGTCCTGATGGGGACATGGAATTAATAAATTATTTTGAGGCAGCATTCGGGACCGAAGCTAGTGGTCCCGAATGACACCTATGTTTAATGATTATTTTGAGTGGTAAGTTGGGACCATAAATATGATCTAAGTTCCTATCTTAATTTTTTATGTCAAGGAAGTACAGTCAAATAAAAAACGGCATTTATAATATAAAATATTTCTTTTATTTGAAAAAATCACAGCAATTAATTGAAAGTAAACCTAACTAGCTAAATATTTGTGTTTATTTGTAATTTTACTCCTAAATCTACATGATTGCACTCAAAATCATATGCTAATAAAAATTTGTACTTATACATTTTATATGAAGATTAACAACATTTAAATAAAAAAGTAGCTCTCATTACAACAAATTATAATAATGTCACCCTATTACGTTTTAGTTGCAAATAAAAATTACTTACAATTTTTTGTTTTGATGGTTAAAACTCTTTTTTAAATCAATATCACAACCGTTTTTTTTACTATTATTAAATCTTTTATTGCACATAAAAATCAACTAAAATAATAATCAACATAATATTCAACCCCCACCTTAATTATTTTGTTAAAGTATTCAGAATCATTATATAATTCAAAAAAAATTACAACATTTATATTGATACCATTTTTTTTTATAAATATTGTTGCTAATAATAAGTAATTATTTAGTATCAGTCTCATGAGAAATTGATGGACATTACTGTATTTACAATCTTAACTTCTCCAAACAATGACCGACAGTTATTTGGCCATTTATTAATTCCTGCAATGTCAGATTGATCTTTTCTTTGGTTGCTACAGTCTCTGCAGATCTTCTTGAAATATTATTCGTCTTTTTGAGTTTATTGCAGTAAAAGCTACCGTCCTTCATAATACCATTCAAAAAATTAATTTTTGATTTCATATATCTTTTTACGTGGTTGTGCCATACTACGATATTGTTTGTTTTATGGTCTTTATTATAGGTGCACCATATTGGAAAATAAATGTCATTTTCTAACCAGGTGCTGACAAAATAATCATCAAAAGCTATAATGCCTTTGCCTTTCGGACAGTCTTCCATTTTGTAAAGCCACTCTTCACTGATCAAATGTAACGGGAGGTGGGACAGTACTGAACATAACTTCACGTATATTTTGCCATGTTTTGATTTTGTGGCGCCCAACTGTTTTGCTTTTCTCCATAAACATCTAGCTAAATGGAAAAAACATCCAAGGATCTTCGCATCCGGCAAAATGCTCCGGATTGCCAATACAGCAGGCACTTCAAAATCCATGCTTATTTTTAAAGAGTTCCACTGAGGTACACAACTTCTTATGAAAGAAAAAAGAATGGCGTATGTTTCACGGGTTTTATCAGGTAAAAGCACATACAATATCTGGACTACGATAACGAAAGAATTGTTGCTGCCAATATCTGCAATGGATGTATAAGTTTTTCTGGCACGACTTGAAAGTACCAACAATAAACATGAGATTAGATTCAGTTAATACAATACAAAATAAATACCTAATACTACATTTTCATACTTTTTGGGTATTTCGATGTCAATAGTTTTTTTGGCTTCAATTTTTTTCACTCACTAAATCTTATTTCTCCTCTAATATAAACTTTTTTTATAATTTGATATACTAAATCCAAGCCGGTATTTTTTATCCTTTCGATGGTTTGTTCAAATAAAGTTTGGACGGGTTTTTCATGATGTTTGATTTATATTTGTCATCACCCCGAATACTAATATATTAATGAGCTTTTGTCGTTAACTGTACTTTTCATCAAACACTTCTTTCTTTATTTTTGGTCCCAACTTACCACTCAAAATAATCATTAAACATAGGTGTCATTCGGGACCACTAGCTTCGGTCCCGAATGCCGCCTCAAAATAATTTATTAATTCCATGTCCCCATCAGGACCAGTGGTCCCGGTCCCAAACGACTACCGACTCGCACTCGTTTTCTCTGTTAAATTAAAAAAAAGGAATTCACGGTTCTAACTGGTAAATAACTGTTACAATTTACTTACAACATTATAACAATGCCTTCTCTTGAAAAGACATATATCACAACGACCTGTCAAATGGACTTGACAAAAGAAAGAAATCAATTGTGGGCATTACCCATTGTATTTAACCAAGAGAATTCTTTTCTACAATTCAAAATATGCCTGGCTAATCATATGTAGTATATTATCACGTATTATTATGCTCACACAGCGCTTAACTGTACTATTATTTTTCCTAAGAATACCGGTAACTAAACTGTAATATTGTTGTTCCTTATGTTTTTCATCATCTTTATATGACTTTTACAGGTTCTTGGGTAGAATTCTTTTTATAGTAGTATTCTACTTTTAAACCCACACTTTATCCATATACGTAGTTTGAATAAGTGATTGTGATAATGACCTTGCTCCAACGTTTTTGGAGATATCCAGAAGCAATAAAAACACTGAATCGGTCGATAGCAACTGACTCAGCATGATGTTATCATCTTTTTGTTTTAATTTTGAATAATTAATTATATTTCTTTGAAAATAAAACACATGAACAACGGTACGGGTTTTTTGATCGAACTATAAAAATAATGTTCTAACCGTCATTTGTTTCAAAACAAAGTTCACTTCTTTGAGGAGCCCGATCTAAACAGACATTGCTCTAATTTGAATAACTATGTGTATCATAACAATGAGCCGGATTAATCGTCTAATGGATTGATGCAAACAACAATACCGCGGTATGCATTCCGTATACATTATAATACGACGGGGGTGTGCTGCGAATATGACGGTGACTGCGCAAACTTATTCAAAATTTTAACTAAGGAAACATGATTCGTATAGCAATAGCAATAAAGTTTCTCGAACGTGTACGGATAAATTTGGGGTTGGGAATATTGGAGTGAGTCGAACAAGGGTCGTTGCTGGGGGAGCAAGCCCTCGGCGCATAGTGCAGCGTTGCAAGCGGTGCTTTTTTTCAACATTTGCTTATCACCTTTCCAGCTGAGTTACCACCGCCGGAGTAATTAAAACTTTTCATTAAATCTGAATTCACACGATTCTTTTGTTTATTTGTAGTTTGGAAAGTTCTGATTAGCTAGCTACGAGAGTGATTAAACTTTCAAATGTAAAAAAAAACATTCTGCTTGCTTAAATATTGTATTAAGTACTAACGTTGATTAGTCATGCAAAAGTTGAGCCTAAAAATAATTTGATATGTAGACGTATTTTTAATACATATTTAAGTGTTTCAGAACTTGGTCGTGATATCTCATGAAAAATATATATGTCATTCAAAAAAATAATGTCTGTGAGAATAATTTAGAATAGTAAGTTACCTCAAAGTTATATTAAGGTTTAATTCATCCTACTGATATGCAATCGGCTGGCACTTTAGTTCAAATGTCACGAGCATGTCAGTTCTCCTTTCACCCAAAATGCACGTTCGACCACAGACTGCACTAAGTTCACAAAGTATCGATCGTAAACATATGCACACACGATCTCTATCCGACGCGATACCCGTGACACGTCCGCCTCTACCGACCGTCGAATTAATACTAGCATAATCTCAAAATTACGCGCGCTACGTTCAAGAAATTGTTTATGCTGTCTGTGCGGTCGTAAATAGGGTTCAGACGAGACGTAGATGGAAATACTACGGACTGTAAGGGCGACAGGGACAGACTAGCGTCAAAGGTGTTTTGTGGGGCCGAGCGTAACGACGAACGGAGTTCCTCGTTGATGTCGACGGCGCGGCGTCAACATTCAAAAGCAGACGTTACAAATGATGAAAACAAAGAAAAAACAAATGAAAACTGGTTTTAAACGAGCTACTTTTTTCTGAGGAAAGTAAGTAGGTATTTAAACTTGGAATATGTTAAAATAATTATAAGTGCCACACCCAACGATAACGTAAAGTCAAACACAAACGGTAGATAATATGTGAATTAGTAACAGTCGAAGAAATTGATAAAGAACAATTCTACGAAGTTGTCCACGTCCACTAGTATAAAAAATATTAAAGTAAAAATTAGGAACTTATTTTTTTCACATTGACAACTTTAACAAATCTAAAGAAAATATAACTAGAAAAAATTCGCGGACCAGGCAGCAGACGGGACTCGAACCCACACTCTTCGCTATAAACTTATGCAATTTTAAAACTCTAATTATATAGGTACTTCAGCCGGCCGGCATATTAACCGGTGTATGTATAGGTAAAGTTAATATAAAAAGAATGTAAGTGTGGAGCGATATTGACATTGGGCAGTGTCACAACAAAGTATACATTCCAAAAACTCACGACACGAGGTGTAAGCTATTGAAAAACTTTTATTATCTGTTGTCTTTGTACCTGCGCAACGTCTCCCGCGGCTCCCTCTCCCATAGAAACCATTCAGCCGTGAGGAATGAATGATTTTTAAACAGCCGATAACAAAAACCTGCTTTAAATTCTTACCACCTACTTGTCTATAGTGGTTATTGATTTTGTTCTCTTCCTTTTGTTAATATAGCGCTATTGTGTTAACACACTCAGATATCCGTGTTAGCGTCAAGTACTTTTAGCTATTATCAAGTTACAAAGTCTAAGTTACCTACTTAAATATAAAACTGGCACTGACTCAAAAATAACAGAACGAAGTTCCATTCTTTACGCTTGTTATTACTTAAACTATTTTCTATTATATGAACGAGTTCCATAGCTTTATAGTATATGTAACATAAAACTAACTTTTTAATAGCGTAGTTGCTGTAGGTCGCATGACCTTTGCAGCTTCACTTAGTTAGTCGAAATTGGCGTGAAGAAGTACTTTGCGAAGGTGTGAGTCAGATATCCGTGTTAGCGTCAAGTACTTTTAGTTATTATCAAGGTATAAAGTCTAAGTTACCTACTTAAATATAAAACTGACACTGACTCAAAAATAACAGAAAGAAGTTCCATTCTTTATGCTTGTTATTACTTAAACTATTTTCTATTATATGAACGAGTTCCATAGCTTTATAGTATATGTAACATAAAACTAACTTTTTAATAGCGTAGTTGCTGTAGGTCGCATGACCTTTGCAGCTTCACTTAGTTAGTCGAAATAGGCGTGAAGAAGTACTTTGCGAAGGTGTGAGTAGATAACGTGACTCATAGACTTTCTGTCACACCAGCTATTCGCACATTTTACTTTAATTAGGTCGTCAGCTAGGCTTGAATTAAATTTAAAAATCTATATCTGAACCAGGCAGTTTTAAATGAGGATATCAGTCGTAATGCTACGAGTAGAATTTAAAGGTTTTCAACTTTCCCAGATTCTGATTACCTACTAAAAAGACCATTTTCCAATTACGTCGTTTTGGGAACCATTTAGAATCTATATTACCGGGACTTTAGAAAATTCGGAATAAGACTTGTCCTATGTTAACACTGTACAATGGGATACTAACGAACTTTCCTCTTGATAATAAACCTCAATTGATGTGTTTGTTTAACCGTAGAGTACTTAACAACAGTTAAATGATGATGAGGAGAAAGAAATGCACAAACATTCTTAAACAAACTTTTTTTGTGCATAGTATGAGCAAATCAGCATAGTATTATCACCAGAAATCAGCATTTTGTAGCTAAATTGAATTAGTAGATCACATCACTTCTTCTTTTTATTCATTGTGTTGAAAACTAACCAACCAACAAGTTTACCGGAATAAAACTAATCAATATTATATTTATTCTGTAAAGATCTTTAATATGATTTTAGGGTACCTAAGTAATGAAACATAAATGAATCATGGTACTGTCGAAGTGAAACACTAATGTTTACTATATCTTCACAAATATTAATGATACCTACCACAGAGCTTATATGCCTGGTTCAAATACTGATTGGCGGGTTCTACAATCGGGACCAACGGTCAAACGTGTGTCTTGTGAAGTATAGAGGAACATGAGATAAAACATTTTCGGTCACTCTTTCAATGACCTTTGAAAAAAATCATGAACTGACCGCAGGCTGAAGAAACCCACTGTGCAATTGATCTCTTTGTATCTTGCTTATTTAAACAGAGAAACTCAGAATGTGGCATTCAATGCTGTTATATTATTTCTAATCATCTTGATTATTGTTTTAGGTGTGAACTGATTTTGTTTTCTTTTTCGGAGACATAAATCTGAATGTTTTATTAGTAAAGTACGTATTATATCGTTAAACGTGGGTGTTGTTCATTTGTTGTGTGTCATAAAGATAAGTAAGATGAAGGCCTTTCGTGGAGTGGGAGATCTGCGTCCCACGTTGCCTGACTACTTATTGGCAAGGCTATCTCCGACTTTGGAAGCAGATTTATATGCAAAACTGCTACTACTTACTTATACAGAAGTATCTTGTCCCAATTCCCTGGAGTCTAATGCAAGGATCAAAGCAATTAGTGTTGAGTAATGTTCGTTTGTATATACGGACACTCTGTATTCAAATAACAATATAATATATTTACCTGGTATAACAGGATGTTTGAAAAATACAAAAACTGTATTTAGGTTCTCTAATACTGGTTTAGATTACCTACTTAAGATCGTAAACGTTTGATTAACTACTCGTTGTTTTAAGCAAAGCAAAAAACAGAACCCTTATAAGATCACTTTGTTGTGCGCCCGCCTGCCAATACCATTTTTTACAAAAACACGTGGAGGTATTGAGCTGAAATTGATAGCAAATACTCAAGTCTGCAATTCTTTAGAACAGTGAAAACTCAAACTTCTAAATATAAAAGATATGGTTATTTGTGCTCATTTTATGCCGTAGATTTTGTCGCTGGCAAGGAGATCCAAATCTATAGCATAACAGTGTCTCCAAGCCCAAGTAAAGGGATAATCGAAGCAACGGAATATGTCTAATGATTAAAAATCAGGAAAATCTTCGAGACTCCGTATACCGTGATGACTACAGAAATATCTACAAGTTTGTGCGGATCCCTTGGCGTAAGAATCCGACACGCAATTGATCAGTTTTTTATTTCTGATGCTTAAACATTAACCGGCTCGCAATATCCTTGATCAATTATGAATCGTTCTTTTAGGAGTTGTTTTGCAGGCCGCTTCTTGAATCTGACTTAGTCAAGTTAAAAATCATGCATTCTTTGTTTTCTTACTTTAAATTATCTTATCTTTACAAATACTAACAGTTTAGAGCTTTGCATAAAAATAAGAAGGAAACAGTACAATATTTACTTATCAAATTTATGATTGCAACCTTTCGAAAATTACCTTGAACTATTTTGAATGTTTAAAGTAGTCATAAGTTATTCGTCGGTTACGGCGAGCGTTGAGGCGCAGGCGCATGCGTGGTTGGGTTGCCGGCGCGTGTTTCCTGCGCGCACGACCCGTCATACACGAATTTAGGGTTGGCGTTAGTAGAACATAACATAAACATTTCCTTTCACATCAAATACCCGATTAATATAGGCATAATGTACCTGTTTTTGTTGTCATACTATAAATTACTACACTAAGTTTGCTACTTATTTCAGAATATCATATTTGAAAGGTTGATAAGAGCAATGTTTGATAAAAAGTTGCACTTACTTCCACTTTTTGAATGTTTACGTAATTAAGTATAAAATTTACCTGCTTCTCTTGTTATACTGTAAATTACTACCAGTAATTTTTGACGACTTTCAGCAGTTAATAGTTATTAATACAGCTCTATAAGATAAGTATGTTTTTTTAAAATTGAGTGGCAAGTTTGATATAAAGTTACACAAAGTTCAACCCCTTAAATGTTTACGTTTAAACGTAACCATGCGCACACTGTTATCGTGGAATGACGAAAACGACACGCAGTAAGTCAGATCGTAACAGGAAATTAAGACCCCTAATACAGGAAATATGATCACTCAACCAGTGGTTCCTGTAACTATTTTGTTTGAAGTAAACAAATTGTATGAGAGATAATGTAATGGTTGTCATAGATATAATTTTTGTCTTCAGGTATTTTACTAATATGTAATTCTATAACTCTCTTAGATCAGCGGATTTGATGAATTCTTTTTGCACTACCTTAAGATTTTTGCTAAAATTCTCCGGTTGACTGGTAGAGAATGCCTAATGGCATTAAGTCCGCCACTTGTACATACTTTTGTGCAATAAAGTATAAATAAATAAATAAAAATATAGTTGGTAGAGCTGTAGAAAATGGACAGGCCTAATAATTATTTTTGTTTTTTTAAATAGATTATTATTAACTTTAAGCATTAAACTGCTAAATGTTTGAAATATAAAATATTACTTACTAGAAAATATTCTATTCGGTCTAAGTTTCATACGGGATTCGAATCCGGATCTTTCTCTATCCGGAAATAAAAATAATAATTTTCGGTGTTG